AAAAGGGTTTTGGGTTTGATGTCTCTGAGAGGATGTGGTCTGCTCATCAATGCCTTTGAGGACTCTATGGGAGAAAGGGAGGAAATATCATCTTTGGTTGGCTCTCGGACGGAATCGATTCAGGAGGTACTTGGTGCTTACCGCGGAGAGAGGGACGATTGTAACAAAAAGTTTCATTCCAGAAGAGGAGGAAGCAGGGGAATGGTGGCAGATAATGAAGGCGGTGTTTGAGCTCGCGAATCGACCGATTGTGGATCCAAATTGCAGAGAAAGGAAGGAGGCTGTTGAGGGTTTAGAGACAAAGGAGGAAGAGAATCGGTGCACTCTGCCAGAAATCAAATGTCCACACTTCAATGTGAACCTTTGAGTCACTGTGGAAGTGGTTGGGGAGAGAATGCTCGCAGAAGCGGTCAGAAGCAAGAGTGTCGCACCGATTCGGGTAGTGCAGAAGAGATCCGGGTCGGAATGGGGTCGGATAATATTTGAAATTCAAAAGAGGGAGCAAACTCAACGTGGCAGGTTTATTCAAACCACAGACTAGAGGGATCGCTTTAGGCACAAAGAAAGTAATGGACTTGCCTGTATTGGGCCTGTGAAGTTAGGTGTTGGTAGGCTGCAAAGAGGCAGATGTTTCTGTTGACACGAATATTTTGTTACTTAAATGACCGTGATATTTTTCCTATATAGTCTTACCATTTATTTTCTCCATAATGATGTAATTACTTAAAATCTTTATTATAAGGAAAATTTCTCTATTGGTACTTAATAAGTTTTGTATATATACGAGTCAGCTGTAATATCTAAATGAGAGAAAAATAAAGTGTAACTACATGGTATCAGATTAAAAATAAGGGTATTTTAGGGTTTTTCAAACCCTAAAATATTCTCAACAACCAATCAAAAGGAACCACAGTCTCACTGTTGGCTGACTGCACTTCTCTGATGAGCATCTTTCGAATACTACAATATCTGAAATCTGCACCAAGAAAAGATTTACTCTTCTTCAGAAATAACTATTTTAAGATAGAAACATTTACAGATGCTGATTGGGCTGAGTCTCCTGATGATAAAAAGTCAACTACCGGTTAGTGCACACTCGTTGGAGGCAACTTGGTTACATGAAAAAGTAAGAAACATAGTGTAGTTGTCCGTTCTACTACTGAAGTTGAATATAGAGTAATGACTCAAGAAGTATGTGAATTATTACGGGTGCAAAAACTAATGAAGAAATTAAAATTGTTTAAAGAAAAAAGAGTATCATTGTTTTGTGACAATAACACCTATTAGTATTGCTCAAAATCCAGTTCAACATGATCGAACAAAACACATTGACATTGACCATCACTTCATAAAAGAAAAAGTGGTTGATGGTTCTTTATGCTTACATCATGTCTCTTTTAGTTATCAGGTGACAGATATTTTCACCAACAGACTATGCAATAAAATTCTTTAGAACTTGATATGTAAGTTGAACATGTGTGATATCTTTGTATCAACTTGAGGGGGAGTGTTGACATGAATATTTTGTTATCTAAATGACCATGATATTTTTCCTATATAACTCTATCATTTATTTTCTCCATAATGATGTAATTATTTAGAATCTTTATTATAAGGAAAATTTTCTTATTGATATTTAGAAAGTCTTATATATATATAAGTCAGTTTTAATACCTAAAGGAGAGAAAAATAAAGTGTAAATATTTTTCTCAAATTTCTATAGTTTCACCTGGGAGGAAAAAAGGAAGAGGGTGGAAAGAGCCAGATCGAGCAAAGGAAACCAGAAAAAATAAGGAGCCCACAAGTAAAATAGGTCTGGAGACCAGTGAAGAGAAGCCTGACCCGGATAAAGGAATTGGAGGAGAGGAAATAGAAAGCTGAACTTGAGAGTGGTGTAATGCTACTCATGAATCGGGAGGAAGAAAGTACCCAGAACCAGAATGGTGCCGGGTTTGAATAGAGTAGGTTGATGGAGGAGGAAGAGAAAGGACAAATGGAAAAAATTGTGGGAGAGGTGTTGGAGGTTATGAAAGGAAGTGCGTTGGGGGAAGTGATGGAAGTGAGTGATGACAAGGGAGCTGGTTCCAATCCGATGAGGGAGGAAGAGATGGTGTTGGTGGTGATGGAGTCTTACATAGCTGCTGCTCTGGTGGTTGGGGAACAAAGGGCGGAAAACCAGTGCCTGGTGGAGTTAGGGGAGCATCTGCAGAGTGGAGAAGGGGAAGATTTCAGTTATGTTTGGGTGTTATAAAACATTTTAAAAATAAGCAAAATGATCGGTGTTTCGTTTGTTGGTACTGAAGATGGAGTGGTTGAGTTCTTTATGGAAATAGAAAGTAGAAGGAAGGAGAAGTGGAAAGCAGAGGAATTGGGGATTAGGGGAAGGAAAAAACTGGGAGAAGGAGGGCCAAGGGAGCTAAAAAGATTTCACTAATTATGATTGCAGACTGAAAAACAGCAAGAGAGGAGATTTGGCGGCTGGAATTTAAATTATTGGAAATATAATCTTGTGAAATGTTAGGGGGATCAACGACAGAAAAAGAGG